TATGTTATTGTGATCATCTTGTATTACTATAACCAATAATATTCATTTGTATTCATAGAGAAATATTTCGTCCACTTACAATAATGGTTTACAGTACTTAAAACTATCAATACAAGGTTTGAACAATCATAATACCTTATTGAAGATGTTATCCTCAATCAGTTATTGTTTGTGCTATGGTAAAGGCATATTCATCTTCCATATAAATTCAAGAACATATATTTTCATTGTCTTGAGATAACAGTTTTTTATACTACTACTCCCAATTGTCATATACTTTATCGATACTAATTATTTCGCTAGTCATTCCTTTTGATAAGTGAAAATATATTCTTGGATATATTTGATATGGACAATTATTGTAGACACACAAGCTAAACAGTCAACATCCATAATCTCCCAAATTCTTTGAGAAATAAGGTGATCTGAACTTGTTATAATCTTTAGAGATTAACGGGGACACGCAAATGAGGATGCCTTCCAATTTCATTATTTGCCAATATTGCTTTGTACCTCTAGTCACACTCTGAATGAATACACTTCTAAACTACAAGCCAAGATTGGCTTAAAATTTGATCATGTACATGAATGGTACATGATGTTGAACCTATTTATTGCATTAGTCATATCTTGTTTGTTGTTTGTTGTTGAAGTGTTGACCAAAAACCAATGTTCTAAGAGTATACAAATGTATCTCGATCAAAAACATGGGCAAATTCAATACCAATGTCATTTATGGTAGATTGAAATTGGATATATTGTTGGGGTGGGTTGTAAGTGAGTTGGGTAGGTTGGATGGTAAGTTTTAGTTGTGGTTCTTCATCGTCTTCATTTGCACTATCAGTGAAGATGTCATACTTGTCATCACTGAAAGGGTGATAAGTTTTAGAGGGAAGACCTAGTATGACATGTTCTTCATAGTTTGGTTGTTGAGTGGGGTTGGAGGGGTTGGTCCTATGAGAAGTTCTGTGAGTGTATCTAATTCTTAGGAAGTATAAAACAATGTTCTAGATTGTTTGATGATGAAAGATGGTAAGAAGATTCAAGTTGTAGGTGGTCTAGTAGTTGAGGTACATATGAAGGTGAGAAAAAGATAACGAAATTTGAGGTTGAGATGAATGACATTGAATGGTAACAAATAACTCAATGTTAGTTGAGAATACCTTAGATTTGCATATGTCAAACATGACTTTGATGTCATCGTCATCAATAAGCTCAACATTTATGTACTTGCCTACCCATTGCACTAATTCTCACCATTACGTTGTCCAAGGCTCAAGTCACAATACAAAATAAATTAATTTATTATGGGAACATTTTCATCAACCCAATATAGTACATGACATAAATAAATTCAGGTTTGCTCTTATCAAATATTCGCCTACTCATCTTATTTATCAACTTATTTGTCCAATTTTTGTTTCTTCTTTTTATTCTTCAAATGAAGAAACTTGACATCTTAAACACTGAAAACATTGATAACTTTTATCTTATAGATAGGTCAAATCACAACAAATGAGAAAAGGGTATATTTTTAATGTGCATCTCATAAGCTTTTTCGAGTGTTACACAATTGTACACTTATCATTTTGAAAGAAAGAATATGCACATCTTTAGGATTTTTCAGAGACACCTCAATCAACAAGTTTTATTATCGTGAACCAAAAGTAATAAGTGATGGTTTAATCATAAAATATTTTCTTATATTGATGTATTTAATATGATTACTTAAAAGTCACAATTCTCTTTTGATACTATCATGAAAATATATGTTAAATATACAAGATTGACTAATGAAATAATAATGTTTCTAAACCCCTATTTCTACCTCTGCCACCAACCAAAACATCCTTTCCTATGAAATTATCATGGTTATCTAAAACGGACCAGACTGGCTGATTCAACCGTTTAGACCAAGAACCAGTGCAATCACCGGTCCAAAACTCCTTAAAAACCAGACCAAATAATGAACCGGTCAAAAACTGGATAAATCAATGTAACCGGACGGGTCAAGGGGTTACTTGATTTTATTTTATTTTTTAAAATAACTAAATGATAAATGATGTTATTTTGTCTTATATGTATTTTTTCTTTAGTTTAACATCGAGACACACAAAGGTGAAGAGAGAAAGTTGTTTTTGTACAGGTGGTAGTATTCTTTTACTTCGGTCTTGGTTCTTACAATTGTTATCGTTACCACTCACTACATTTGATTGTCTCCTTTTAGTATCACCCTTGCTACAATTATCATCATCACCACCATCCACTACCTTTAATTATCTCATTTTGGCATCATCCTTACTATCGTCGTTGTCTACTATTATCATCACCACAATCATTCATAGAAATACAATAACATGTAAAAATCATAATATCTTAATTTTGAAAATTAATTTAATGAGTGGATGATGAGTTATCCTTGGGTTCCATAACTATGCTTTGAAATAAAATAAAATAAAATATATAAAATTTGAAATTAGATGTAATGGATAGGGATGGCAAAACGAGTCAACTCGCCACGCTTTTGGCTCGCCAAAAACGAGGATAGGACGGATTAGCATGCTATAGTCATGACGGATTATTATTTTTAAATTAAATCTTTCAATAAATTTAATAATAAAATTATCATTGTCAACAATTTAATAATATATATATATATATATATATATATTTCAAGTTAATAATATAAATTGATATATTATTTTAATAAATTATATTTTAAAATAATTAAATTAAAATAACATTTATATAATAATAAATACATGTATGTAACAGTAAAAAAATTTGAATTTTCTTAGTAGTGAAATTCTTAAACTTTATGAATTCTCTTTATGAGACATTGAGATTTTTGGAATTTTCTTTTCATAAATTTTTATACTATATATTGTCTTTCTAACTCTTTGTATTGTATCACAATAAAAAAAATTATTAGTAAAGCGGATCGCGGGCTTACCCATCCCGCGGGTTGGTCCAACAGGCCAAAACAAGGCTTACGGGCTAAAAATACTAACCCACCCCGCCATATTATAACAGATCGACAGCCGACCTGCTAAACCTTCCCTGTTTTATCATCCCTAATGGAAGATATGATGTACTTTTTTTTGTTTTATCATCCCTAATGGAAGATATGGTGTACTTTTTTTTTTCTTTAATTGTCTTGTAGTTTTTTTCTTCCTAATTATTTTCAAACTAGGTCCAGTGACAATCTTTTTTCCTAATTATTTTGTATTCTAAGTGTTTGATAATATGTTTATTTATCTTATTTTCCTTGATGTATTCTACAAATTATTCTTATTATTATATAATACTTTTTTAAATAACATTTATATTGGATTGAAATTATTATTATGTTGTGATGAACTTATTTTAGGTTTAATATATTATTATATTATTAAAATATATTTTTTTATTAAACCCGATTCAACACTGTATAATTTCCGATTAAATTAGGTTGAGATGATCGGTACGATTTTAAGAACTATAGAAATTATAATTTCCTTCAATGATATTCTCAAAAACATTCAACCATTATAAAATGTCCAAATAATTTTGGTCTTACTTATACATATTGTAAGTCTAGAATTGACAACATTACCCACCTGCTTCACTATTAAGATCACAAACAAATAATTGAAATTAACTACCATATCTTTGAGTCTAAAACCAAAAGATCACTTACAACTCAATACTAATTAAAACGAACGCTGATATAATTCAAATGATCAACTAGAAAGAAAAAAAAAAACACAAACTTTACTTCCAAATAAGTATAGGGAAAAATTAAATTATTAGTTAACGTCAATTCTATAAGACAAAACTTAAATAAATGATCTACAACTTAAAAGATAATACATAGAAAAACACAAAATAATAAGATACACATTTGTCTGGCAACTTAACAAGATAATTTTCTAATAACTTTTTATCATGTATTACTTTAATTTAGTTAATTATCATGTAAGTACTTTTAATTTATAGTTTTTCTATATCATGAATTTAAATATATATATATATATATATATTAGATATATAAATATAAATGTATACACATTATAATACATTTGACGCAAAATATATATGAAAAGAAAGTCACAATTTAGAATTTAATCATCTGGAAATCGAATTCTCAATGTTTTCTCAGTGCCACAGTGACAATTTCTCATTCGGAGAACCAAATTTTGACCTTGTCAATAAACATCTATTTGAATAAATAAAATAAAAAGAGACTGGATCCATTTCAATAAATTATTTTTTAATATTATTTTGGAAATTTTTAATACTATTGAAGATATAGATTGCAAGACCAAAGCTCAAATCATACGGTAAATTATGCGACCAAAGAGGTTTGACAAACAAACGAGAATAATCCATATGATCAAACCTCTACTCCCGTCCTCTATCTCAAATTTACAATTCACAGTTGAATTAAAGACACTCCTAAAGAACTAATCCTTTTTCAATCTGTAAGTTTGTATAGATCATTTAGCCATAAAAAATCTTATGAAGGTTCGTGATATGGACTCTTTCTTATTCCTGTTTTACACAAGCACTCAACACTCGAACGCCCTGCTAATCCATTGCCAAGGATTATATCCTTCCATTCAAGGATGCATTAAATTTACTACATTCATTGTTAGAAAACATATAAAGCTGAATGACATACAAACATAAGGTCCAAAACAAAATAGGGTAAAATGGTGTTAGCTTGGAAATATTTACGTGGCTCCAATACAATATCATAGATTTGTTTTATTTTTGTGTACGTGTTTTTAATAAAAACATAATTGACTTCCCTAAACCATAGAGATAACAAACTACAGCGTCTGACACAAGTATTTACTTCACATTAACACAACTCAATCACAATGGCTAGCTCCAACCAAGAGAAGTCTGACCTCAAGATGTTCATCCGATGTTCATCCGATGTCCCATTCATTCTGTTGTCAATAAGCCATACTAACTGTTGTTTTCACCATCATACAATTTAGAAATGCAAGAAGTCAAGCAGTGGCAGCTTTCTCTCCGGTTGTTCCATGTCCATCAGCAGTTGCTGAGGCGCGTTTTGCTTCATAATCTTTTACAGCTGCTTTTATAGCATCCTCTGCAAGCATGCTGCAATGAAGCTTGACGGGTGGAAGTGAAAGATGCTTTGCAATTTCACTACATAAAATTAATGTGTCACTTTAACAACTAATTACCGGAGACGAAAGCATTTAATCATGAAAAAGCACAACCGAAGATAGAATCATATCATCTGGCATAACCACAAGGTATATAAACAAAATGCATCAGCTCATAGTCATTTGAAGAGGATACACAAAAAGATTATATATGGCAACACAACAACAAAACATCAACATTAACCATTAAATCGATAAAAAATGTAATTTCATATTGAACTGGGCTTTGTCTTTCTCAAACAAACCATCTAATGTAACTTTGTGCACATAATTCATACATTATTTCTTCAATTCCAGGCAATAGCTAACTCTCAACTTTCACCATTATTACGGCTAAAGATACAATTATTTTCTTTTCTGAAAGACCATAATTCTCTAGGACGAAATACTATGCACTGAGCCTCAAATCCAAAGAATATAATTAATATAACAAAATACATAACATAGAAGCCATGTCTAGAACAATAATATCCAATTGTAGCAAACGTTTTCAGGAGCTTCAACTCACGTGTTTTTAATCGACAAAACTTCCTCCATTTGCTTTCCCTTCACCCATTCAGTAGCTGCAAACAGACATGAAAGCCAAATCAGAAACACCCTAAGTGGGAGGCAAGGGGTACCCATCCACAAAGCAACGACGAAATTTCATTCAACACCATTAAGACGAAAACAGTCGAGGAAAAATAAAATAAAGAACCGAAAATTCAAACACCAAAAATCGCACAAACCCTAACAACAAAATATAAGCTTTAAACTAGCACGAAAACAAATTAATCAATTAAATAATAGCATATTACCGACGGAGGAAGAAGCGATGGCGGATCCACAACCGAAGGTTTTGAAGCGAGCATCGACGATCTTTCCAGTTTTCTCGTCAACCTTAATTTGGAGTTTCATTACGTCGCCACACGCGGGTGCTCCAACAAGACCCGTTCCCACGGTGGGGTCGTTCTTGTCGAAGGATCCGACATTGCGGGGGTTGTCGTAGTGGTCCACCACCCTCTCGTGGTAGAGCCGCGGCAGAACCCTAAACCCCAACGGTTGCGCCTCCAACGACGGCGTATGAAGAAGTCTCTTTGCGCTTGCAGCGATTCTCAGCATTTTCGATTTTTATTCTTTGGTTGCGGACGAGTGGTTTTGGGATGGACACAGAAGAGGAAGACAATAAATAGGATTCCGTTTGAGGCGGTTTTGTTTGGATACGTGGCGAGTGGATATTCTTCAATATCAAGCCCAAATTAGCTGGGTTTGGATCACTCAATTGGGCCTTAGTTGCCACCTCGATACAAACGGGTAATTGCTTCATACACCCATACATTCTACCTGCATCCCATAAATCATAACATTGTTTTAGCACCCTTTATTAGAAACTAGGGCTGCACCTCCCATGGCTATTTAGGGGTTGTTAGTGGCTAGCAATGGCGGCGCTAGCCGTGAAGTATTGGCAGTTCACGTTGTTGTATAGGTAAGTCGAAAGGATTTATTATGCTTGAATACTTGTTGTAGATAGTTGGATCGAAATTTTTTTCAGAAATCCCTAGTACACATTATAGATAATCAAATCCAAAAGCAATTATTACGAGTTCAATAATATGTAATATCAAGTGGGGGTGTTTCAGATTGCAAAATTAAAAAAGAACCTCACACTAAATCAATAAATTCATAGAATCATAATAACTCAATTATGGAGCAACTAATCCAAAATTTTATAAAAACAATGATAGAAGAGGTATCCTGAATTGTTGAGTGATAACTATGTGTTCCAAAATCGATATTGAGTAAAATAGTTGCAGTACAAAATATATTTTGAATTAAACTATATAGAAGATGATAGCACTATTATGGAACTCAAATGAATAAATTATTATTCTGATTTTTAATATATTAAAATAGTTCAATTATTATTATATATATATAATAAATTTTTAAAATAAAATAATAATTATAAAAAGATGACAAATGTATAATCATACATAAATTGTGATTGTTATAATTTATTTTTTTTATATTTTGAAACACATGTTTTTGGATTATCTCTACAATAATGCATAGAAAATTTGTTTTTCTGTCTCTAATACATTAAAAGAAAAAATTCACACAAGTTGATAAGTATATGGGCATTGGAGTAAATTATTAGATGATGAGGATTTGTTTTCGTATACGGATTTTTTTTATGAAGTTGATCATTGTATTAAGATTATAGTAATGCTTTCATTCATATTCAATAAAATAAAGAATACTTTACTCATGTTTGGAGGTGAGGGGATATTCTTCACAAAGTTTTGTAATTTTTATGTGTATATATATGATTTTAACTTTTGAAATTTAATAATCATTAAATATAGTTGTATAGATATGTACTCATTATATATGTACTCATTATATATGTACTTTATTACTATAAATAAATGAATCGTATGAGGGGTGTGATTAAACTCTCTAAAGCATATATTTCCTTTTTTTTTACTCTTAATTTGATATTAGAGCGGGTTAATCCTATTTTGTTGGTTTAGGTCTCCTCTAGTGAAAAATTTGTCATTGTCATCTTCATTGGACACTATTCAGTTTTCTCCAATGACCATCAGATTTGGATCATCTCCTTAACCAATGATCACTCCTATCGGTCTAGTACCATGAGTCTTCGCCACACACCTTCATGCACGACTTCTCTCCACAAGTCTTCTCCGCGCGTGTAGCTCATGCATCATTCTCCCATCGTCAGAGTCTCTTTGTGCGTTGTTCGTGAGTGTCACCGGACCTCCTTGATCCTCTTCCAACCTTGAGTTCTCTATTCCAACAAGGTTGAAGGTTTCCATGTGTGTCTTACCTTCGTTGAAACCTTTTAGCTACTCCCAAGGTCTTTCCTCTATTTGAAGATCTTCTTAGTCTCAACAATGTCTAGCAAAATGTCATCTACACCCTTTGTGTCCTTCTTTAAGACTCCTTCCATAACATCTGAAAAATTGTATGTGCAATAATATCTCTCTTGATCTGCCTTAGTTGAAATGTGGTTCCTTGGGCAAGGTGTTCATGATTACCTTGAAAAAGATGAGACTTTTATACCACTTGATAAAGCTAAAAAATGGAAGCAAACTGACTTTCACCTTTTTGCCTTACTATGGCAGTCAGTAGAACCAAAGTTATTAGATACCCTTAAACCATTTACAACATGTAACTATTTTTAGAAAAAGGCTCAAAATACTTTTGCAAATGATATCCAGCGTCTTTATGAGTTCACTCAATTCAAAACAGGAATGTTCAACAACCTATGGAATCCTCTATTATGATCTTCACTCATGGAAGAGCATGACGTAATGCTAGAGGAGGAAGGAGCAGTCGAGGATGTTCTCAATGTACAAATTGTAAGAAGATGGGTCATGTATAAGAGAATTGTTTTGCACTGCATAGTTTTCCTAATAACTTAGCAAAATCATCAAGTTCCAGTTCCAATCCAACAATTGCATTTCACAAAAATCCATGGATAATAGTTTCATATGCTTCTAATCACATTTTTGGTAATGCATCATTGTTCTCATCCCTTCTATTTCCCAACAATCCTCATTCCATTACTTTGGCCAATGGTTCTAAACATTCTTCCAAAGGAGTGGGTTAAGTTTCCCTTTTATCTTTTTAAATTTAAAATTTATTCTTTTTATACCTTTTTATCCTTTTAATCTTATTTCATTAAGTCAATTATCCAAGTCTTTAAACTGTTCAATAACCTTTAATGTCAATTCTTTTGTTATACAGGAACATGGTACAGGGCAACTAATTGAATATGGACATAAATCTAGAGGTTTACACTATTGTGGAGTTATTCCACCTGTGTCCTGTTTTGTATCTCAAAACCCCAAATTGTTACATAATTGTTAGGGTCATCCCAACTTGTCAAAATTTAAAAAAATGGTTCCTAAAGTTAGTAATCTTCAAATGTTGGAATGTGAATCATGTCAATTAGGCAAACATGTTAGATTATATTTTTCAAATAAATTTGAGTTAATATGTAATTTTGTTTTCTCTATTATTCATTATGATATTTTAGGGGCTAGTTATGTCTCATCTTTTTGGTTTCAGATATTTTGTTACTTTTATTGATGAATATTCCATATGTATGTGGATTTATCTCATGAAATATCATTCAAAATTGTCGATTATCTTTACATCCTTCTTGAATGAAATCAAAAATCAATTTGGTCAAGTAATTAAAATCTTAAGAAGTGACAATGTCAAAGAGTATTTTCTCCTTCATTTCTATGCAATTCTAAATTCGCATGGCATTTTACGCTAGTCCACTAGTCCACTTGTCCTCATACTCCTTGGTAAAATGGTATTGGTAAAAGGAAAAATAAACACTTGGTTGAGACTGTCCATACCCTATTACTTTGTGCCAATCTACCGGTCCAGCATTGGGGTGATACTGTTTTAACTACTTGTTTTCCTTATTAATAGAATGTCATCCTATTCTCTCAATAATATGATTCCTTATTCCATTCTCTTTCCCAGAGAACCTCTCTTTCATATTTTATCATGTGTTTAGTTGTGTATGTTTTGTTCAGGATTTATCTCCAATAATAGATAAACTTTTTGCCCGAGCTATCAAATGTGTCTTCTTAGGATACTCTCGACTTCATAAAAGATATTAGTGTTCCTCTCCTGAAACAAAGAAATATTACATGTATGCTAGTGTCACTCTCTTTAAATAGACTTTTTCCTTCTAGTCGTCTATTCAAGATGTTACTTCCATCCAAGAGATTTTACATATTCAATTAGTTGAGTCAATTGTTCCTCGTGTCTCAAATGATCCTAATCTTGTTATCCATTCTTCCAGTCCTTCTCCTCGTATCACGAATTCTCAACCTGATGATTCAAACCTACCTATTATCATCAGAAAAGGTATTTGTTCTACTCATAATCTTTATCTCATTTATAATTTTCTTAATTATCACAGGTTGTCTTCATCTTATTGTTTTTTCTATCATCGATGTTTTTCATTACTATTCTAAAAAATGTGAATGAATTACTTGATCACCCTGGATGACGCCAAGTCATGATGATTGAAATGCAAGTTCTTGATCATAATCACACATGGGATTTGGTACCCCTTTCACCTAGGAAGAAAATAGTGGGATGTTATTGGTTTATGCTATTAAAGTTGGCTCAAATGGGGAAGTTGAGCGTCTCAAGACATGTTTAGTTACTAAAGGATACACTCAAACTTTATGGTCTTGATTATAACGATATTTTTTCTCCAATGGCCAAAATGACTATTATTCATTTATTCTTTATCATGACAATTATTCATCATTGGCCACTTCATCAGTTGGATATCAAAATGTCTTTCTTCATGACGATCTTGGAGAGAAGATCTATATGGAGCAACCTCTTAGATTTGTTGCTCAGGGAGAGTCAGGCTTGGTTTCTAAGTTATGTCGCTCCCTATATCGTATTAAACAATCCCCTAGAGCATGGTATGGGAAATTTAGCCACATTGTGCAAGCTTTTGGGTTGAAACAAAGTGAAGCAGATTATTCAGTCATTCATTGTTATACTTCTCCTGATAAATGTGTTTATTTAATAGTATATGTTGATGATATAGTTATTATAAGGAGTGATGCTGTTAGAATATCTCAACTAAAGAAATACTTGTGCAAGCATTTTCAAATCAAAGACCTTGGGAGTCTCAAATACTTCTTGGGAATTGAAGTAACTCAATCAAGAGGTATTGTGATATCTCAAAGAAAGTATGCACTACATATTCTAAGAGAGGCATGTATGATTGACGGTAGACTAGCAGATAGTCTTATGGATTCAAATAAAAAACTAATGATGAAACAATGTGAACTATTCTCTAATCCAAAAAGATACAAAAGACTAATTGAAAAACTTATCTATCTTATCATTTCTAGACATGATTTATCTTTCGCAATTGGTGTTGTTAGCTAGTTCATGCAGACTCCTTGCATTGACCACTGGAATGCCATCATCCGTATATTGGGGTATCTAAAAAAAAAAAAAATTTAAAGACACAAAGACAAAGTTTGTCATATGAAGATAAAGGCAACACTAAAATATTTGGGTATTGTAATGTTGATTAGGTTGAA